AGTAGAAATCCTCGCCGCCATTATTCGATCCACTAGCTTACCTAAGAACACTGAGTGTGTCTTACATCAAGAGATGAGCAGCATCACCTACTTAATACTGAAGAACAGCATTATGTCCCTTATATGTGCAAACAACAGCAGAAATTCATTAGGATCCTTATTCTGGGCCGGGAACAGTGATACGTCTGTTATACGCATCACCTCGTTAACATTCACCCATGATGCTACAGCATTCCGACAAAGTACAAGATTCTAGAATCATACTGTTGTGGGTTCAAATGCCAGCTCCGCTACTCTTGTGAAGTTCCCTAACAGCTCTGTGCTTCCATTTCTTCATGGGTGAAATGGGAGTAACAGTCGTTACCACATTTTAGTGTTGTCGAGAGGAGTAAAGGAGATCGTGTCTGTGATGTGCTTTGCTTGGCGTCTGGCACACAGCAGGCGCTCCATAAATGCCAGATGCTGCTGCTGCTTCTTCTTGGCTTGCTCGGCCCGCAGCATCCAACTCCGCATCCAGCCCAGGGACAGAGCGAACGATCCGGGCTGAGCTCCTGCCCTTTGACTGCACACAGAGACAGCTGCAAGCGCATACTTAGAATTTGGGAGAAGACCGTGAATGTGTTCCTCCAAGTGGCTGCGTTCATTTTATGGTGCAAAGCACAGTAAACCCATGTTCTCATTTCCTCTTTCCCCGAAATAGCTATCTCTGCTCCCTGAAGAGGCCCTGAATTATTCCAGTCCCTTGAATGCCCTGAAGTTCTCAGGAGAGAAGGAATGTTTTTTTTTTAAAGCAGGCACAGCTTGGAGCTAGAAATCAAAAGGTTAAATTCTCTTAAGCTACGACAATGTAACTCATTTCCTGTTTTTCTCAACTGTCTAGACACAGATCTCATAAGCATTAGCCATGAATCCCACCATCACGTTAAAAATAGAAGGTTTAAATATGAAATGCTGTGGTGGAGGAAAGATTGTAGGTTTCTACCTTCATCCACAAAATGACTACTTTGAAACGGGACTTCTTGTCTTTGGTGTCAGCTTAGCCCTAAATTCTGTGATGCTGTATTTCGACGGCAGGAGTACAGAACACCGCTTTTTTCTACAGAATATATCTGCTCCTCAGTAAAGTGAATGCCATTTTCCCTCTAGGTTTGAAAAGCCATTTGAAAATGAACTTATGGCAGCTTCTCTTAACAAGGAATACGGTCACACTTTGGAAATTTCCAGGTTTTTGCAGAAACCAACATTTGTCCCAAACCAATTTGTACAACAGAAAAGCCATACATATTTTTTTAAAGATCTTATTTATTTATCTGACAGAGATCACAAGTAGACAGAGAGGCAGGCAGAGAGAGAGGAGGAAGCAGGCTCCCCGCTGAGCAGAGACCCCCCCCCCTCCCCCAGATGCAGGGCTCGATCCCACGACCCTGGGATCATGACCTGAGCCGAAGGCAAAGGCTTTACCCTACGGAGCCACCCAGGCGCTCTAAGCCATACATATTTCACATGCTAACCTTTTCTTCTTATCTCTTCCCCTTTCATAAAGTTGTCTGACAAATGTTTTGTTCTGAAAATATATTTTTTTCTGGAAAATGCATTAAAAAAAAAAAACCACTCCTGTAATAATCCCTGGGCAGCGTTACACAAGTGTGGGGAATCTACCATGACAAGTCTCCCAAATTTACTGGACTACAAAGCCCTTTTATCATAAGCCTTTTAACACCTCCCCAAACACTATGCCATGGAATAGTTTAGGAAACATGCATTGGACACCTCTGTGATTCTTTCTGGTTTCAGAATTACATAAGGTTAGGCCTCTTCCCTGACAGCCTCAGCTATCTGAATTATAACATCAAACTGGAAGTAAATAGTACTATGGACTCTGCAATGCTGTAATGGGCCTGTTGTTCTCTTTATCACTGGGAGGCAGATACAAGCCTGCCTTACAGACACTCGTGCATTTACTTGAGAAGGATCGTATTCACCACGGCTTTAACGTTGGGACAGACACATGTTTAAATGTAGATGTGTGTATGTTAGTACATATACAAATAAGTCCCAGCTCTGTCCACTAAAAGGACCAAGAAGCAACGAGCACACCCACTACCAAGATCTTGGTTTCAAAATTGATACTCTGATAAAAGGAACGAACACTTTTCCAAAGGAAAGTTTGATCACAAGGCTGGGGCAAGGAAAACAGAAGATGAGCTGAGGGGGAAAAGGGAAGTGCCAAAAAGTAAGAGGTACTCATGAATGATGGAGCACGTTGAAAGGATACAGGACCCAACGTAATTAAGCTCCTAATGGGCAAAGCAGGGACAATTTGAGCAACAAAATAAATAATGATAGTATGAAACTGTAACCCATAAAATAAAATAAATATGCATAAGCCCATCCTAATATAAATATGTTAATGAGGGAAAAGGAACAACTCTTCCTGACAGAGAAATTACAATTAATAAATATAGAAGGAACGAAGGACATAGAAAATCATCAATAAGCAAATATCACAGTAATGTCTTCCCATCCCCCACGCTCAACAGCCAACCATCCCAGTCATTTTCGCCCTCTGAAATTAAGATAAACTAACTCCAAAGTATCCTTGAATGAGCAAATAACGAAAGCACAAAGGTAGGGGCAGAGAGGGGCAGGCAGATGGGAAGAAGGAAGACATTTTGGTTCGTTAATGGTTAAGAATACGCATGTACCCTCAGCTCTACAACTTTCTAACAGTGACCTGGGTAACTTCACCTTTCTGACTCTTTCTCCTCCACTGAAAAAAGTGAGTTTAATTGTGTAGTGGGTTGAAGAGTGTACGCCCCCAAATTCACATCCACTCACAACTTTAGAATGTGACCTTGTTGGGAAACAGGGTCTCTGCAGACATTAATAAATTATAAAGTCATACTGGTTTAGGGAGGGCCCTAACTCCAATGACTGGTGTCCTAATAAGAAGACAAGACACACAGAGAAACGGAGAGAAGTGTGAAAACAGAGAAAGAGATCCTAGTGATCCAATGGCGAGCCAAGGGAAAGACACCAAGGATCACCAGAAACCACCAATAGCTAGGAAGAGGCAAGGAAGGATTTTTCCCTGGAGTCTTCAGAGAAAAGATGGCCCGTGATTTCCGACATCCAGCTTCCAGAACTGTGAGAGAATAACTTCTGTGGTTTTAGGCCATCGCGTTTGTGATCGTTTGCTCTGGCAGCCCTAGGAAAGTCACAGAGTAAGCAATACAGAAGGCAAGGATATAAAGGGGCTAGCAGAGGGCAATTAATCATCTCTGAGCCACATCACAGCTCTGCTTTAGTCAGGAGGGAGGAGGAGGAAGGTCAGGCTTGATTACACTGTTTCTCAGCTTTAGATATTTTAGCTCTAGTTGGCACCCTCCCTGCCTTTTCCCTACCCACAACTACTCTGAGTCACTGCCCAGCTACCAGGAACTCTCAAATTCTGGAAAACAGCCTCCGCCGCTATCCATTCCAGGCGTGGGAGTGGGGTAAGACCCCGATCAAACAGTAACACTATAGAGCAGTGCATACAGATTCGAACTGATCCTTCTATCTCATCAGCTAAAAAATTGGTCTCTGGATATGAAGTCCCTGTTATGGAACTGTGCTCCCCAAAAAGATGGGTTGAAGCCCTAATCTCTCCAGTACCTCAGAACGTGACCTTATCTGGAATTAGGGTCATTGCAGATATGATTAACTAATTTACGATGGGATCACACCAGAGTACGGTGGGCCCTTAACCCAATGAGCAGTGTCCTTATACAAAGAAGAGGCAGAAACACACAGGGAGAGGAAAATGATGTGACTGTGGAGACAGAGACTGGACTGATACATCTACAAGCCAAGGAATGTAAACACCAGAACCCAGAAAAGGCAAGAAAGGATTCCTTCCCACCAGTTTCAGAGAGCATGGCCCGATGATATGCTGATTTCAGAATTCTCTCTTCCAGAACTGCGAGATATATCTGTTTATTTTAAAGATTTTATTTATTTATTTATTTGACAGAGATCATAAGTAGGCAGAGAGGCAGGAAGAGAGAGAGGAGGAAGCAGGCTCCCTGCTGAGCAGAGAGCCCGATGCGGGCCTCGATCCCAGGACCCTGAGATCATGACCTGAGCTGAAGGCAGAGGCTTAACCCACTGAGCCACCCAGGCGCCCTATATCTGTTTATTTTAGAAAGAGACGGGGGCCTGGGTGGCTCAGTGGGATAAAGCCTCTGCCTTTGGCTCAGGTTATGATCCCAGGGTCCTTGGGCTCTCTGCTCAGCAGGAAGCCTGCTTCCCCGAGCCACCCGCCCCCCACCTCTCTGCCTACTTGTGATCTCTGTCTGTCAAATAAATAGATCTAAAAAAATTTTTAATTAAATTTAAAAAAAGAAAAGAGAGAGAGAGTGCACAAGCCAGGGGGTAAAGGGTTGCTGAGTTAGAGGGAGAGAGAGAGAGAGAATCTTAAGCAGACTCTCCACTGGGCACGGAGCCTAACGCAGGGCTCGACACAGGGCTCGAACCCAGGACCCTGAGATCATGACTTCAACTGAAATCAAGAGGCAGTCATTTAACTGACTGAGCCATGGAGGCACCTCTGTCGTTTTGAGCCAGTTTGTGGGGCTTTGTTTTGCAGGCCTGGGAAACATAGATAATTGCTTTAACGAGTATAAGTTTGTTTTTTTTTTTTTAAGATTTTATTTATTTATTTGACAGACAGAGATCACAAATAGGCAGAGAGGCAGGCAGAGAGAGAGAGAGGGGGAAGCAGGCTCCCTGCCGAGCAGAGAGCCCGACGTGGAGCTCGATCCCAGAACCCTGGGATCATGACCTGAGCCGAAGGCAGAGGCCTCAACCCACTGAGCCACCCAGGCGCCCCAAACGAGTATAAGTTTTGACAGGTAGTGCCCCTGCTCTCCAAAAGTTTACCTTATGATATATGCGGATACTATCAGCCTAGTTACCCTTGCAAGTGTCTGTGGTGGTTATTCTCTATTTATACATACCTTTCTCCATTTTCTACCCTTCTCTGCGGTCTGCAGGGCTGTCTCCCAAGGACTGCAGTATCCAGGGTCCCTTGTCCTTAGTTTCTGGTTGGGTTTGGCCAATGAGAGACAACAACTGGGAATTTGAGGGTAGAAGACAAAAGGTTAGAGATTTTTGCTTTCTCCCTGCCTCAGTGTTCTGGCAATGTCTTCATCGCTCTACCACTACAGTTCCCGTTGGGCACCGCTACCCACTCTCCCCAGACATCTTCAGCTCTCCCTGAGCTCCATGACACATTTTCCTCCTTTTTCTCCTTCTGGTGAAAGAGCTTCCCTCTGCTGCCGGTCCCTGAGAGTCTCAACATCCCTCTTGGTTCTCTCTATCCCTGATGACTATGGAATGCATGTTTGTATCCCCCGATAATTCCTATGGTGAAACTCTAACCCACCATGTGATGGAGTTCGGAGGTGGGCACTTGAGAGGATTATAGGTGTAGATGAGGTCACAAGGGTGGGGTCCCCTTAGTGGGATGAGTGCCTGTTGAAGAAGAGAGACTAGAGTTATCTCTCTCCATATGGGGACAAAGAAAGAAGGCAGTTCATCAACTCATCAAGAACCAGTTGGCTGACACCTTGATCTTGGACTTTCCAGCCCCCAGTACAGTGAGAAATAAATGTCTATTGTTTAAGCCACCACGCTATAGTATTTTTTTTCTAGCCACTCAAGCTAAAATACTGTCCCACCTGGGTATATGATCCCTTCATTAAGTCCTCCTCAAAACCCCAGGTAAATATACCTTAGATTTCCTTCCAAGACCCTGACTAACACAGTGACCATGTTACAAAACCAAAGGCATATAAACCTGACCAAGGCTAAACTCGAAGGGCAATTCAAAATTGGAGTTGTCCCATCCTGGACACTGGATTCTTAACTACAATAATTAATTAGTTTATGAACTGCAAGGGTTCGTTCAAGTCCATCCAACCCAAAAAACTACCTTTGACAACAACTGAAGAAGCGTCTTAACTCTAGGTTCTAGGAAGACCACAAAATAATGCACTAAAAATTACTGAACCCAACATTCTACAAAACACATGCCCAATTCTCCTCAAAATTGTCAAGGTCATGAAAAACAAGGACAGACTGAGAAATTGTCACAGACCAGAGGAGACTAGAGACATGACAACTGAATGCACAGTGGTATCCTAAATTGAACTGTAGAAAAGACAAAGGACATTGGTGGAGAAAAACTGGTGAAATCCAAATAAAGTCTAGAGCTTAGTTAATGGTAATGTACCAATGTTGGTTTCCTGAGTTTGGGTTTTGGTTTTTTGTTTTGTTTTTGTTTGTTTTGCTTTGGTTTCTTAGTTTTGACAAAAGTACCATGATAATATAAGATGTTAACATCAGGGGAAATTAAACATGGGTAAGGGGTATCTAGGAACCCTACAACTTTTCTGTAAATCCAAAATATTACAAAAGTAATAATTAATTAATTAATTAATTAATTAATGTAATAAGACTTTATTCCAAAAAGTGATTAGCCCCACGTTATGGAGTGAGAACTATATGCAGGTCAAGGGACAATTCATTTAAGCATACATAATTTGTTTACGACAAGGAATATTACAAACCGGGTTCCTTATATAAATTTGATATGCCTCTCCAAGGATATTTAAAAACCCTTCAAACAGAGCTGGGAGAGGTTGTGCTGAGAGGAGTCGACGCAAAAGATACTCCAGTCACACGTGCATACCCCCTCCATTGGGAAGAAATAAAACACCCAACCAAGAAACTGCAGAACAAAGCATTACCTTAACTCCTACACAATTGCCATTGTTCCACCCGAAAGAAGGTGCTATTGAATGTCTCAGTGGCTTGCAAAAGCAGTGGCTCTTTTGACACTATTTTCTGTATTTCTGGAGTGGAGCACTCAGGTTACTGAAATGACAAAACCTTTGGTTTCCACCAAAGTGGAATGCCCCTGGGTAGGTGCTAAGAAACAGCTCCCCAGAGAGCGGCTCCAGATGGACCATGGACTCCTGCAGACACCTGGACATAATCTCCAGTCTTTAAGTTCTCCTTCCTTTCATGAGATGACGTGTCCATCACACCAGGTATTAGCCCACAGCAAAGAGCAGTGGACACAGAGGGTCCCTGGGGGTGCTGGTAAGAGTAAAGTTCACATGGGCCCTTGAGGGAGGGTATGGAAAACATCTCACAGTCGCTTATGCCTCTCCAAACTCCTAGCAGAGTGAGGGCAGGCATACATCGTTTTGTTGATGCTGCTAAAAGGTAATGAGATCCCTCGCAGAAATACACACAGCAGGGACTTGTCTCTAACACACACCTGGATTCCCCGGGCCTGGGTAGTGCAGCCACGGTAGGCCCTCAGTAATCCCTCGCGTGGTGAAGGAGCTTGTCATCAACAGCTACCCCCAGGCACTGATGACATCTTAAGAAAAGGTGTTACTAGGTCCCCATCCAATAGTCTCAAGATTTTATTCACATTTTTGTATTTTTACTTTGATCTCTCTATCTCATTCAAAACTCATGCTATGCCCCCAAGTCTACCTTACAAAGAATGTCTGTAACTTCACCATTTTTCTATCTATAAAAAATAATAATATTTGATGATCTTTGACAAGGTCGCCAATACCACTTAATGGGAAAGGAACAGTCTCTTCACAAATGGTGTTAGAGTTGGTGCTGGATATCTACAAGCATAAGAATGAAGTTGGACCCTTATCTTATACAATATAAAAAAAATAACTCAAAAAGGAATAAAGACTTAAATATAAGACCTAAAACTCTAGAACTCCTAGAAGAAAACACAGGGGGAAAACTTAGCAATGACTTTTTGGACACAACACTAAAAGCACAGGCCACAAAAAGCAAAAATAGACAAATGGGACTACATGAAGCTTAAAAATGTTTGTGCATCAAAGGCACAATCAACAGAGTGAAATGCAATCCATGGAACAGGAGAAAATATCTACAAATCATTTATGTGATCCTTTAAGGAGTTAATATCTAGAATATATAAAGAACTCTAACAATTCAACAATGAAAAAAATCAAATAACCTGATTTTATTTTTTTTAAAGATTTAATTTATTATTTGACAGAGAGAGAGAGATCACAAGTAGGCAGAGAGGCAGGCGGAGGGGGGAGGGGTAAGCAGTTTCTCTGCTGAGCAGAGAGCCCAATGAGGGGCTCAATCCCAGGATCCTGAGACCATGACCCGAGCCAAAGGCAGAGGCTTAACACAATGAGCCACCCAGACGCCCCCTCAAATATCCTGATTTTAAAATGGACAAAAGTCAGTGCTGAAAGTCTTCAGAGAGCAAAGAGAAAAAAAGAAAGAAAGAAAAAAGAAAAATAAATAAAATATAAATAAATAAATAAAATGGACAAAGGACTTGAATAGACTTATCTCCAAAGATGATATACCAACGGCAACAAGCATATGAAAAGATATTCAAATCACTAATAATCCAGGAAACACAAGACAAAACCACAATGAGATATCACCTCACATCCATTAGGATGGCCAACACTAAAAAAACTGTTCAAACAAACAAACAAAAAATAAAACATAAAAATACAAGTGTTGGTAAGAATGTGGAAAACCTGGAACTCTAGTATGGTGCTGGTGGGATTGTAAAATGGCATAACCACTAAGGAAAATGGTATGGAGGTTCCTGAAAAGTGAAAAATAGAAATATCACACAACCCAGAAATCCTACTTCTGGATATATATGCAGAAGAATTGAAATCAGGGTATCAAAGAGTTATCTGCACACCCACACTCATAGCAGCACTGTTCACAATAGCCAAGAGAGCAAAGCAACCCAAATACACACCAGCAGATGAATGGGTAATCAAAGTGTGCTAGTACATACAATGGAATATTACTCGGCCTTGAAAAAGGAAGGAACTCCTGTCAAGTGCTACACGGTACGGATGAACGTCAAAGACACCATGCTACGTGAAATAAGCCAATCACAAAAAAACACAAATACTACACACTTGCCTTTATATGAGGTATCTCAAGTAGTCAAACTCAGGAACAATTAGTAAAATGATGGTCACCAAAGGCCAGGGGTGGGAAGGAAGTATTGTTCTTCAATGGGCAAAGCATTTCCGTTTTGCAGAATAAAAAAGGTCTACAGATCTGTTTCAATCAATGTGAATATACTTCACACCATGGAATCATATACTTAAAACTGATTAAGATAATAAATTTTGTGTTACATAAAACACATGCATACATAACTTTTCAATTAATTTTTTAATTCATTGATACCTGGCAGGGGAAGAGGCATATTTCCTACTCTACTGCTTTGTTTGGAGGCCATTCCAGAATCTCTGTCTCTCCCAAGATCTTTTCTCACCTCATCTCCTGACCTCACGGCCACCTCCTTGTTCCCAGTCCCTTGCTTCACGTGTCACCTCTCACAGCCCTGAACCTGTCCCTTGTATTCACTGTTCCTCTGGCCTTCACCAATCTCTCTCCCTTTCTTCCTTGCCTGCAAATCCTACAGAATTTGTTCTTCTTCTAAGTGGTCTGAGAAAGCCCTTAGAAGCTGCATATGAATAGCCAGTGATTAATTTATAAAGACGGACCCTTAGCAATATTCTATACTCAAGATATTAATGCCAAGTTCAAAGAGATTGATAAAACATCGAATGCAAAAATTTTCATATTATAAAAGCACTTTAAAAATTATTCCAAACGTCAAGTAGAATTTAAACCTCATTACATTAGCAAACAATCTTATGATACTATCCTGTACCACTGAATATATGATAAAAGTTTCATACAGTATCTGGTGGGAATATAAATTGGTATGAACCTTGAGAAAAGCCAGTTGGCCGGGTGCCTGGGTGGCTCAGTCGGTTAAGTGTCTGCCTTCAGCTCAGGTCATGATCTCAGGGTCCTGGGGTTAAGCCCCATTTCTGGCCCTCTGATCATCTGGGAGCCTGCTTCTCCCTCTCCCTCTGTTCCTTGTCCCCGCTTGTGCTCACAACATCTCTCTCCCTCTCTCAGATAAATAAATAAAATCTTAAAAAAAGAAAAGAAAAGCAATTTGGCAATATGTTTTGAAAACCATAAAAATATCCTTGCCTTCA